ACACCCGAGGAAGGGCTGAGGGAGTTGGGTTTGTTCAGCCTTGAGAAGAGGCTCAGGGGTGACCTCATGGCTCTCTCCAGCTCCCTGACAGGGTTGGAGAGAGGTGGGGGATGTCTCTCCCACCATGGCTGCAGGGAGAGGACTAGAGGGAATGGCCTTGAGCTGAGATAGGGCAGAGGCAGATTGGATGTTAGGAAGTTGTTTTTCCCTGTTAGGGTGTTCAGGCATTGGAATAAGGAATTGCCCTGGGAGGTGGTGGAGTCACCATCCCTGGAGGTGTTTAAGAGGTGTCTGGATGTGGCACTGGAGGATATGGTTTAGGGGTTCCAGCAGTGATATGTTAATGGTTGTACTTTATGATCTTAAGGTCCTTCCAGCCTTGATGGAAGGAAAGAGAGCAAGGGAGCAGATCCATGTTGGGACAAAACTGAACGCATGACTGAGCAGAGGATCTCTGGTGAACCCTGAGGGCTTTGAGGGTGTTGTGCTGCTCTACATAACATCACATGGCATCTCAAAAGCTTGACCTGCCCCAGACAGGTTTCTAGTACACACATACTATACCTTTATACCTGTTAGGAACTGCAGGGACAAGACAAGGAGCAATAGGGAGATATTGAAAGGGGAAATTCAGATTAGGTCTTAGGAAGAAATTTTTCCTGTGAGAGTGGTGAGACACTGGCACAGGCTGTCCCAGAGAGTTTGTGGATGCCTCAACCCTGGCAGTGTTTCATTCCAGGTTGGCTAAAGCCTTGAGCAACCTGCTCTGGTGGGAGGTGTCCTTGCCCAGGGCAGGGGGTTTGGAACCAGATGATCCCTAAACTCCATTCCAACCCCTTAACAGACTCTGACACTATGATACATTGGTATATTGTGCTATAATTCCCCAATAATTCCTTGCAGACAGTAATTCCTTCCCAGGCAGGGATTTAGCTGCACAGAGGGCTGCAGATTGCTGCAGGCTCCCAGGGACTCCCAGCTGAGCTGGACTGCAGTTCACAGCACTCCTGAGCAGCCTGAACACTTCTGCTCCAGGGTCATTCTTGGGTCAGATGCCAAAGAAGCCTTTGCTAGGGAATATCACTAAAATCCAGGGGCAAGGATGACCATGGCTGCTCTGTGCCCCTGCTGGTTCTGTCCTGAAGCAAAGTGCCAGTGACATGCAGCAGGGCAGAAGGATTTGTTTCAAGTTCTGACCACCTCTGTGCCCTTCTTCTCTTAGTTTATGACTTACTCCTGCCACTGTGCAGCTCCAAAATGTCTTAGTTGTCTCAGGTCACCCTAATTACAGAAGTTGGCTGTGATCAGAGCTCCAGGCAGGGCAAGGTGTCCATCACTGACGTTTGTCTTTCAGCCAGGTAACAGCACTGACTGTACCATAGGCACTTGGAGTGCTTTACACACAAACAAACCACTGTTGCTAACAGAAGCGTTGGGCCACGGCAAGCAGCAAAGCATATCATGCTTGGAGATGTTAGAGTACACAGAGGAATACACCACACATCCATTTCCACACCCAAAGCACATGTAATATTAGAATCCCAGACTGGTTTGGGCTGGAAGGACCTTAAAACTCATCCCATCCCATCCCCTGCCATGGGCAGGGACACCTCCCACCAGCACAGGTTGCTCCAAGCTCCATTTAACCTGGCCTGGAACACTCCCAGGGATGGAGCAGCCACAGCTGCTCTGGGCAACATGTGCCAGTGTCTCACCACCCGCACAGGGAGGAATTCCTTCCCAATATCCCATCTGTCCCTGCCCTCTGGCAGTGGGAAGCCATTCCCTGTGTCCTGTCTCTCCATGCCTTGTCCCAAGTCCCTCTGCAGCTCTCCTGGAGCCCCTTTAGGCACAGGAAGGGGCTCTGAGGTCTCCCTGGAGCTTCTTCTCTCCAGGTTGAACACCCCCAGCTCTTCCAGCCTGTCTTCATGGGTGAGGAATATTCCACAATCCCTTGCCAATCATCCCATCCCCATGTCAATATGCAAACATGGGCCCCTCTAGGGAATTGTTCTCTTATTTCCAACTCTGCACAGAGCTGCTTGGTGCTGAAATCTCCTACCAACAGCTTAGAACTTCTCTGTATCTCACCTTCTGTAGAGCCTGGTCCAAAAGGCAGCAGTGCAAGTCACAGTCCAGGCCTTCTTGCAGATCAGAGAAAACCTGACAATGTCTTCAGGGCGAATGTAGGAGGCCAAGAGCAGCCAGATGTCGATGGGGTATTCCTCTCCTCCTCCCCCATCAGGGCTTTCTAAATGCAAGGAAGGGTTGTTAGTGGAGTAAATGACACTTCTCTCAATTCACATCTACAGGCCTGTAAGTGTGAATTGTACACGAATTCTGTGCCTGCAGTCAGCCCAACAAGCCCAGTGAGGACAGCTCCAGTGTCACTGGTTCCCATCAGTGTGCACTGGCCCACAGAGCCACCACACCTCCATTTGCTGAGTCTATGCCATGACATCCCTGCTGCACTGCTAGTGAGCAAAGGGGAAAGTTCACAGAGCAATTGAGGCTGAAAGGTTCTCTGGAGGTTTCTAATCCAACAACCCAACTCAAAGCAGGAAGAATCACATCACTTTCTTCAGGGTTTTGTCCAGTTGAGTTCTGCGTCCAAGGACGGAAACCTCACAGCCCCTGTGGTCCCTGTTTCCATGCCTGACCCTTTCCCAGCTGAAATATCACACTGAAGTGTGAGAGTTTTATTTTTGGAGGTTATTTCCTGTGAGGGTGGTGAGACACTGGCACAGGTTGCCCAGGGAGGCTGTGGCTGCCCCAGCCCTGGCCATGTTCATCCAGGGTGGCTAAAGCCTTGAGCAACCTGCTCTGGTGGGAGGTGTCCCTGCCCAGGGCAGGGGGTTGGGGCTGGATCATCTCTAAGGTCCATTCCAACCCCTAAAATTCTATGATTCTTTGAAGTGGAGAAATAAAAACTGAATGGCAAAATCAGACATAACTTCATGTCCAGGAGGGCCAAGGTACTGCATGTTTAAGCCCTGATCATTAAGACACTGCCAAACTTGTCAATTTGTTGTTCCAGTGGTCACAGTATTTTTTAGGAGCTCTGTCAGGGAGGGTGAACAATTCTGTCCAGCAACTGGCAATCAGCTGCTTGTCTTAAATCCCTAATTTCATCAAAGCTTCTGAGATGGGAAACTTCTAATGTAATTCAGATGAACAGAATGGTCTGTGCTTCATTTCAGAGGTGTCAGAACTGCTCAGGCAGAACTGAGGGCTCAGGAGCTCCTTTCATTCCTGGTTTTCAGTTAACACCACATGTTTTTTCCACAGCCACTGCTCCAACTTCAGGAGCAAAAGTACTTTTGAAGAATATAAATAGCTAAACAATACTGAGCATTAGGAATGCTAAGAAAGAACAACCAACTTGTACACAGTGCTAAGAGGAAAAGCTGAGATGAGGTCTGTGCATGGAGGAGGTGTTTGGGAACCTGAGGGTGCTCTGACCCTGAGGCAGCAACTTAGTGACAAAGGGCAGTGCTTGATCCTCGTGTGGTAACTGCCAAAGGAAGCTCTGGATGTGATCACATCCCCACAGCACTTCAGATTTATGGCAGGCACACCCACAACATGCACTGTGCTGGTTCAGAGCCCTCAGCTGCCAAGCTCAGAGGGCAGCCAGAGGCATCCCTGCTCCACCACTCTTTTTTCTTCCCTGAACATAGAATCATAGAATTTAAGGGTTGGAATGGACCTTACAGATCATCCAGCCCCAATTCCCTGCCCTGGGCAAGGACACCTCTTCACTAGATCAGGCTGCTCAAGGCTCATCCAACCTGGCCTTGAACACTGCCAGGGTTGGGGCAGTCACCACATCCCTGGGCAACCTGTGCCAGTGTCTCACCACCCTTAGAGTAAACCAATTTTTTCTCACATCCAACCTCACTTTCCCTCCTTCATGTAATAGAAATTGGATAAAAACCTGTAACAGACAGACAAGGCTGTGGTAGAACAGAATATTGGCTTTCCAGACTCATAACTCCAGCCACTCAAATATTGTTTTGCCAGGATTCTGAAGGATGTCTCAATAAAAGAGGTTAAACTCCTTCCCAGAGGAGTGCTGTGCACCTGTAGCCAGTGATGGAAGCTGAGGTGTTACATCAATCAGTATTAACCTCAAGAAACCAAGTTCCAATGTGTTTCTCAGCCTGAAAGCAACCTGTTAGGAGAACCTTCTGCAGAGTTCCACAGTGCAGCAGAGCTGTTTGTGCTCACACTGCACTGCCAATAGCTTTCTATAGAGCTGCACAGTATGCTAGAGGATACATCTTCCTGGAATTAGCTGGGATGCTAACAGGATCAAATGCACTTCCTTGCTGGAAAAAGCTCTCTCAACTCATTTGTAACAAACCACAGAAACACCCTGAAAACAGAGCTTGTGTTTTGCCAACAACTGCATCAGGGACAGCAGCAATGGCATGGCATCTTGGCCTGGAGCAAGGACAGTGTGGCAGCAGGACTAGGGCAGTGCTCATCCCTCTGGACTGGGCACTGGGGAGGTCACAGCTCAGTGCTGGGGTCAGGTTTGGGCACTCACTGCAAAAAGGACATTGAGGCACTGGAGAGAGTCCAGCCAAGGGCAACGAGGGCAGAAAAGGCCTAGAACACATGTCCTATGAGGCTCAAAAAAGGTCTAGAACACCCGAGGAAGGGCTGAGGGAGTTGGGTTTGTTCAGCCTTGAGAAGAGGCTCAGGGGTGACCTCATGGCTCTCTCCAGCTCCCTGACAGGGTTGGAGAGAGGTGGGGGATGTCTCTCCTGCCATGGCTGCAGGGAGAGGACTAGAGGGAATGGCCTTGAGCTGAGACAGGGCAGAGGCGATATTAGGAAAACATTTTTCCCTGAGGGTGTCCAGGCACTGGAATAGGCACTGGAATATTGCCCTGGGAGGTGGTGGAGACACCCCCCCTGTAAGTTTTTAAAAGGCATCTGGACCTGGTGCTGGAGAATATGGTTTAGGGGTTCCAGCAGTGACAGGTTAATGGTTGGACTTGATGATCTTAGAGGTCTCCTCCAATCTTGATGATTCTATGATTTCATCCCCAAAGCAAAGTTGCTTTCACCAACACCTTCACTGAAGCAACACATCCAGTGGCAAAGTTTCCCAACTCTTTGGCAGAGCAGAGTTTGTTTTTCAAGGTTGAGAGAGGTTTACTAAAAGCAAGGAGCTCTCAGGCTTTGATTTCATGCCTCAGGCTCTGCCTTTGTGCAAACACAACACTTCTGCCCCGGTGCCAGCAGATTTACAGGGGACTGAACTCTTTTTGTGCACACACAAGTTCCCCTAGAGCAGCCTGTAAATCCCAAACATTAACAACACACAGCAGGAGCCGCAGCAGGAGCCCGGAGAGCTGTGACCACACCTTTGTGCCTCTTGCTCTTCTTTTTCCGGGAGGCATTTCGGCCGTTGATGCTCTCCTTTGTGTCCATCTCATCGCTGCTGTCACAGGACTCTCCCGACATGGAGAGAACTTC